CAAAGTGACTTGGAAAAGGCAAATCGTTAACCCTTACGGTGCTGGGAAATTCAAGGTGGAAGTTCGGCTTGTGGTTTCTTGATTTTGTTCTCTTCCTTTCGGTATAGAGCAGTATCAACCCCTAAAAGGGAGGAAATGAAAGTAGCCCGAAGCAGCTGGCACCTGCAGGGAGCAGATAAGTTGGGGTGGGGGTGAGGAAGAAGAACAGAGGGAGAATGGGCCCAGCGCTGTGGCCTAGCAGCTAATGTCCTCTCCTTGAACGCACTGGGATCCCATATGGGTGCCGGTTCTAATCCCAGCAGCTCCACTTCCCATCCAGCTCCCTGCTTGTGGCCTGGGAAAGCAGTCACGGACAGCCCAAAGCCTTGGGACCCTGCACCTGCGTGGGAGATCTGGAGGAAGAAGTTCCTGGCTCCTGGCTTTGGATCGGCTCAGCTCCAGGCCATTGTGACCACTTGGGGAGTGAATCATCTTCCTCTTTGTCTCTTTTCCTCTCTGTATATCTGACTTTGCAATAAAAATAAGTAAATTAAAAAAAAAAAAAGCAAAAGAAGTATATCTATAAGGTCCGGCGTGATAACCTAGTGGCTCAGTCTTACATCCGCTGGGATTCCATATGGGCACCAACTGATGTCCCATCTGCCCCGTTTTCCATCCAGTCCCTGCTTGTGGCCTGGGAAAACAGTAAAGGATGGCCCAAAACCTTGGAACCCTGAACTCGTATGGGAAACCTAGAAGAAGCTCCTGGCTCCTGGGTTCGGATTGGCTCAGCTGCAGTTGCTGTGGCCACTTGGGGAGGACAGAAGGTCTTTAGTTTCTCCTCTCTGTAATTCTGACATTCCAATCAAAATAAATAAATCTAAAAAATAAGAAAAAGGAATATATCTACAAATCCCATTACATCTATCAAGAACTAAGAATTTAAAAAGAAAAATTTAAAAAGATTTATTGTTTTATTTGAAAGGCAGGCTTCGAGGAAAGGCGAGCTAGACGTTGATTGCCTGATCCACTCCCTAAGTGGCCGCAGCCATTGGGAGTTGACCAGGCCAAAGCCAAGAGCCTGGAACTCCAACCACATCTCCTACGTGAACGGCAGGTGCCTGCGTACAGACCAATGGACCGCTGCTTTCTCGGACACGTTAGCAGTAAGCTGGATCAGAAATGGAACAGCTGGGATTCAAACCAGTGCTCCTACGGGACGCCAGGGTTGCAGGAAGTGGCACAGCCCAGCAAGTTCTTTAATCTAAGAGGCTTATGAGGTCAGGGCTCTGTATCTCCATCCAGCAGAAGGGTGACCATGGCTTCCATGGGCACGGAGGCTTTGTGATCTCCTGGAAATGGCATCTGGACCAGAGAAGCTTGTCTGCTTCCAAGTTCTTTTAACCCCAGCAACAACAGTGGTTCCTGGGTGTCTGAGTATTTACCATCCCAGTCAATCCTCACACCCTATGAAGTAGCTTGTGTTACCTTCCAGGAAAGAAACCTGAAGCTAAAATGAAAATTATTTGGGTTGGTCCTATAAGTCTAGCACTTTGAACTGCAGCCCAGATACTGAAAAGGGACTTCCTGTGAGCATCAGGATGACCAACATAATTCTGTCCCCTTATTTCACGCTTTGCTGAATGGAAAAATACTGGCATCATAGGCAGGTTTCAGAGATCCGAGGGAGGGGTGGATGGGGAACCAGAAAGTCTGCCTGCAGGAGAGTGATTAGGATCCAGAGCAGAGATTAGTAAATTGCAGCCCTTGCTTTAATTCTGTTGTACTGCCCTGGAGCTGCCTGGAGAAGCTGGGCATCTGGAAAGTGCAGGAGCTCCAGGTTGCCGCTCCCAGCAGGGTTTCACCAGGACACAGGCACGCACTGGGAGGGCCCTTGAATGCTGCAGCAGTGGCACCGCAGAGACCAAATGCAAGATCCAAAGCCTGCAAACTCCCCTCCCGTCCCCTCATCAGCATCCTTCAGCGAAGAAGTGCCATCACTTGTAGAAGCGTGTGGTAGACATCTGCCTAGCCTTCTAGAGCAAAAAAAAAACTTTAGTCGTAATGAATATTCAAGACAATCATAGCCTACTGTTTTGTGCACAAGATAGTTAAGAAAAAAATGACTTTGACTAAACATTTCAGAAAGGCCTTTGAAAATAAGTGGAATGTATGCAGAAGACATCTATTCATGCAACCAGGTGTGGTAGGTTAAACTGACACTCCATAGCCTCTATGTCCGGTTTGAATCCTGATTCCGCTACCAATTCCAGCTTCCTGCTAATGTGTACCTGGGAGCCAACAGTGATGGGTCATGCCCTTGATTCCCGCTACCCACATGGGACCACTACATGGAGTTGCAACTCCTGTGGGCATCTGGGAAGTGGTGTAGTGGGTGGGAGCTGTGTTGGTGCTGACCCTCTGCAGAGCAGCCTTCACCTTGACCCTTGTCAACCCAGCTGGAGGAGCAGGGAAGGTTGAAAGAGCCAAACAGATTGTACAGAAAAAGAGATCCACCCACCTGCTCCCAAGCCCTGTTGTTTTCCTGTTTGAGCTGGGCTGCTGTGTGCTGTCACCTGCAGGGCTTGTGCCATCTCTTTGTTTGTGACCACAGAGGTTATCCCGGGGCATAGAGAGGCAGGAGACAAAACGCCCATTCAATGACATTTTCAATATGTTAAACCAACTAGAGCGAATGGAGTAGAAATAATGTCCCAGTGGATGTTAATCGTTCACCCAATTATTTGCTGGCAGAAAATGCCTGTTCAGTTACCACAGATACCAGGCAACACAAACCTGATGCCTGAGCCAGCCAATCAATTAGGCATTACTTTCTAATCTCAGGCTGTTTACCTAGACCGTTGTAAATACACCAGGGCAAATTATGGAAGCGGCAGTTGTTTTCTTTTTTCTTTTTTCTTTCTTTTCTTTTTTTTGCTATCTCTATTTGGAGCTGTAGATGCTGTTGTAGCTCCCCGCTACAGGCAGCCTGGCTTGAGTGGATCATGATGAAAGACTTCTTGGATGCGCTTTGCCTTGGCATCCACCTGAGCTCCCCATTGGAGGATCAGTGGGAGCCGGGGTGTGGGGCGGTGGGGGGAGTGGCAGTGAGGTTACCCCCTTGCCTCTCTTCCTCCCTCCAGCTCTTGTTGTCTCCTCCACAAGTTCTGCCAAGGACAAGGTTTACAGAAAAGGGTGTGGATCTCATCAGCATGAAAGGCAGCGAAGGCATAAAAATGGGGCTGTTTTGTTTTTTTTTTTTTTTTTTTGCCTTTCATATAGAAAAGTTTCGCGTGTGTGTCTACGCGTGTTCAACTCCTCTCTAGGGAGTGGTAGGGAAGGAGAGGAGCCATACCAACTGAGAATAAATCAGTCCATTAAAAACACTATGATCCATTCGCAGGTTCCGAAGTGTTGGCTCTTTTTCAAAGGCCAAGGGCAGCGATCATAGCTAATGCACCTTAAATATGTACTAGGTGCCCTGAACAAAGCCTATCGCTTTTAATCTCCCCCCTGTGAAACGGGAGGTACTGTTGTTTACCATTTCACAGTCAACCTGGTACTGTGGGACCCAACAGTACTGAGAAAAGTTAAATAAGGTTAACCAAGTCACCTTGACCTCCTGGGATTGAGCCAAAGTGACCAACTCCGATTTGTAGATTGAGGAGCCCCGGGTTCCATCTTACTGAGGACTCTGGAAAGAGTATTTTGATTAGCCTCAACTTCCTCACGTGGTAAGGGGTTGCATCAGGTGCAAACTCCCACATCCAAATCAACATCCATCCCGTCCTTGCCACTGCTGCCAGTGGTTCCTCCCGTGATCCTCCAGGAAGTTAAGGGCTGGTGTGAGGTGGGGAGTAGGCGAGGGAGAGTGTTGCATTAGGCACCTGCTGTTTTCCTGCAGCTGTCAGTCTTGCCCCGGCAGGCAGGGTTGCTGGGTGACGCTGAGTGTAACACACCTGGGGGTGGGAGGGCTGCCCAGCCCACCCTTCTGCTGGACCAGTTACCTGCTCCCAGAGCCTCTGGGTTGTGCCGCCTGGAGCTCGGAGAGCCCCGCTGTAATGTGACCCAACCTGCTCTTCCTGGTTCCCCTGGATTTCACTGAAACTTCCAGGAATTTTGCACCAGCCCAGGAGCTTTTGTTGTTTCCTCAGGGTATAGGGTGGGGGGTGGGGAAGAAGTGGGTGGGAAGGAGAATTGGAAAAAAAAAAAAAAAGCCCTGCCAGCTCTGGGATAAAACCTCCGATCTGTAGTTGTCAGGGTCCCAGAGGGACCCACGGCCGGTTCCGCCACACATCTCCTCCACAGCGCAGGTCTGGGAAACTGGAGCTGCCTGTGCCCTCTGGGAACAATGGCGATCCTCTTTCCCTCCTGCCTGCAAGCTAAAGTGTGTTTACTGCATTATTTATCATCAACACTGACCCTTTCATGTGCAGAGTCACTCAGCTTGCTTCTGTGCTCCTCGCCTGCCCGGCCCTCCGGGGCGAGACTCCGCCTTCTTCCCCAGTAAGCCTGCAAGATGCATAATAATATGCCTTGTCACCCCTTTAGAATCTGTCAGATTTCATCCAGAAAACTCACCATCACAGGTATTTCTGCTTCTGAAAATCCCCCACTTACGACATGTGTGTGTGTTTCCTTACCTGTGTGCAAAGGTAGAAATAAGACTTACATGAAAAGACTAAGTGAAACCCCAGGGGCTGCTGTCCTAACCGAGGCATCCAGGGGCTGATAGCAGGTAGTGGAGCCAGCCCCTCTCTCCCCCCCAAATTTAGAGCCATTTATTCTGGAAAGCGTGGTAGAGGTGGATGAGGTTGGGTTGGGAAGCCCGAGAGATTACAATAGATTGGACGGAAGGAGGAGAGGAGAGTTAAAGCCACAGAAATCCAGGTTCTAGGGAGGACATTCCAGAACCTAAGACATCCACCACTGACGTCTCATATGCAAATGAGGATGCTTCCGGGAGGGATGGGTGGAGCGGTCGGTGTGCCTGGGTGAGCAGCTCGGATTCAGACTGCTGGGAGGCAGGCCTGAGCTGTTGGGAGAGCATCACTGGAGCCTAACCCGAGGAGGATGGACGAGACGCCCTGAAGCTGAAAGGACTCGGAAAGCCAGCCAGCTGGAGGAGCTGTGGCCATCCCAGACTGGCCAAACGCGCACACTGGTCATCTTGTTCCTCAGATCCCTGCCAGAGAGGTTCCCTTCCTCCCAGGCAAGTGCAAATAATGAACTTTTGGAAGAATTACTTTTTTGCTTTCACTCTGCTCAGCGTGGTTATTGTAGTGATATTTTACACTAGCCAATTAAGCCTGTCAAAATGTTATGAGAAGGGGAACAGGTCCTGGGAGAGGTCTGTTAGAATCAATGCCTGTAGTTACGCCTTGGAAGACAAGACAGCTTTCGTGTGGGGCAAAGCACCATCAGCCCCCCTGGGCAGGGTCCCCTGCCAGGAGTACCTGGTCCAGAACCACTTCGTCACCAGCCCCTTGTCGCAAGAGGAAGCTGCCTTCCCCCTGGCCTACGTCATGGTCATCCATAAGGACTTTGACACTTTCGAAAGGCTCTTCCGGGCCGTCTACATGCCCCAGAACGTCTACTGCGTGCACGTGGACGAGAAAGCCTCCTCGGAGTTCAAGCTTTCCGTGTCGCGGTTACTGAGCTGCTTTCCCAACGCCTTCCTGGCTTCCAAGCTGGAGCCCGTGGTCTACGCAGGCATCTCCAGGCTCCAGGCCGACCTGAACTGCATGAAGGACCTGGTGGCCTCCACAGTGCCCTGGAAATACCTCATCAACACGTGCGGGCAAGATTTCCCCCTCAAGACCAACCGGGAAATCATTCAGTACCTGAAGGGCTTTAAAGGGAAGAATATCACCCCGGGGGTGCTGCCCCCAGCTCATGCCGTGGGGCGGACCCGATACAGCCACAGGGAGTGTCGAGGCAAAGGGGGTTCTTTCGTGAAAAACACCTATATTCGGAAAACCTCACCTCCACATCAGCTGACTGTCTACTTTGGCTCCGCCTACGTGGCCCTTACCAGGGAGTTTGTCAACTTTGTGTTCAGCGACAAAAGGGCCATTGATCTGCTCCAGTGGTCCAGGGATACCTACAGTCCCGATGAACATTTCTGGGTGACGCTCAATAGGATTCCAGGTAGGAACCAATTTCCATTCCCAGTCGGTTTTAGTGACCGATTGAGTTTGCCAAGAGGTGACTCCTTTGAAATTATATAGGGGGGAAAAATAATTGGGAAATTCGTGATTTGGTGGCTTTTAGTGACAGTTTGGTGCCAAAGCTGTTGATTGGTGACGTAGCAGCTTACAGATTGGTGACTCAATGATCTAGCAATATTGAGCTCAGTTGTTCTGGCCGGACTGCCCTGGTGTGTCCCATAGCGGCTGCCTTCTAACTCAGCCTTTTGATTTCTTACCCTTCCAGTCCCTGATGAGCACTGTTAGGACACTGCTCGTTGAAGCAGCATCCTAGAACTCGGGCACTGATGGAGCTGTTATTTCCTTTGAGGAGATGTCTTTATGTTTTGGTTCAGAATCCGTGGGGTTCTTTGATATTGGTGGCTGTTTCTAGAAGTTTGGAAATCCCTTTGGCTGGCCACAGATCAGCACTCAGCTTAAGTATCTCTGGGTAGAGGGCAGAACAAAGACCCGGGTCTTCATTCATCTCTGTTTAGCCTGCGGGGTTGCTTCTTCGAGGAGTGGGTGACTGAATTGAAACATCCAGAGGGAGGTACTAGCTGGAGCTCCTTGGAAAAGGTGCCTGCATTTTTAGCTCACAGGTTTTTCTTAGACATTGCGGTTGGGCAGGTTTTTTTTTTTTTTTGTCAAAGCTTTGTATCTCTGATCATTTGGAGAAGGGGTCAAGGTGTGTCAGGTTCGAGACAGAGAAAGTACCCACAAGGTCCTCTTTCAGAAGTCTGCGTGTCCTGGGGGGGCTGGCGCCTGCTGCGGCTTTGCACTTGTTCCAGTACTGCTCCTGGTACGGTCGTGCTGCTGAGTGTCCTCTGCCAGGGCGACACTGCCATTCCTCAAATAACTCCTGGCTCTCGTGTGCTGGGCTGTTATCTGGCCATGCGATGAAGTGCAGCTTGGGGCCACCTTGATATCTGGAGGTGGGCGCCAAGCAGTAAGACCGGTCTGGGTTCCTAATCACTCCTACATGTAGGTGTGGTCAGGAAGCCACTTAGAGGCAGACACGGTGGTGGAGGACCGACATGCTTGCGTGTTGTCACGGGAGCAGGTGATTTTCACCAAATGCCAAATTCGCAGATCAGGAAGGAAAGCTGCCCCTCCCGGTGAGTGTTAACCTTGTTTTCGCAACTACCTGTTTGGAGCACGTGGAAACATTCCGCACGTGGTGTCTGAAGTTGGCTTTCTCGGCAGGGTTTGTGGCAGATGTGTGGTATTTCACATCATTTCTGAGCGTGACCACGCTCATCCTTTCTTGTTTCTGGAAGTCTGCAGGGACTCGCCATAGGTAGTCAAGCCCCCATGGCTCCAGAATCATTGCCTCGTCACTCTGGGTTGATGAACTCCTAGGTCAGGATCAGCTCTGTGTGAATGGCCTGGGAAAAGAAGTAGAACAGCCAGGGAATGAACCAGTACCCATATGGTACGCCAGCACCACAGGCAGAGGGTTAGCTGGCTATGCCAAAGTGCTAGTCCCTCAAATCAGCTTTTCAAAAATATATATATAAAATATATATATATACATAAAACGTGTACCCCATCACCTCCTTATGATATTACTCAATGCTTGTTCATCTATGAACATTTGACTACATTCCTTGGCAATGACGTTAATTAAACACCTAGTGGAAAACATTGCACCTGAATTTTTAAAATCTCATCCCCCCAAAAATAACTCAGCAAATGGAAAATATTTTAGGTATACTGTTGTCTGTGAGTGAGAGTCAAAACTGCCGTGAGATGTGATTTTATCTAAGTAGATGCTGTGTGGAGGCCTCGCAGACTGCTCTTCATGTAAAAATGCAACCTTTTCCTATTTTGAGCTGTTTTAAGAGCTAAGGACAGGGAAGTTTGTGAGGCTGGGTCTCTGGCTCAGCCTGTGGCAGAACTCCAGCTGGCAGAGCACTGCCAGCCTTGCTTGGAACACTTCAGTCGCATTGGCCCAGCTTCAAGGCCAGGTCTCGGCTTTTAAGTGTGGCTGCTGGCTTGTATGACCTGTCGCCACCCACCTCCGTAGTCTCATCATTTCCGCCCTCCCTTCCTTTTTTTTCCCCCTTCTTTCTGGTTTTTAAAGATATCTTTGCAGGGGAGCGGTGGGGCACGGCGTGGTAGTCTACTGTCTAAATCCTTGTCTTGCCTATGCCCTGGGAAAGCAGTGGAGGATGGCCCAAAACCATGGGACCCTGCACCCACATGGGAGACCCTGAGGAGGCTCCTGGGTTCGGACTGGCTCAGCTCCGGCCATGGCTGCCACTTGGGGAGTGGGCCAGCGAACGCAGGATCTCTCTGTCTCTCCTCTCTGTAAATCTGCCTTTCCAATAAAATAATAATAATACATTTTTTAAGATACATTTTTTGCAGCTGTTCTCTTTGCTAAGAAGCATTTCCGACTCCTTTTCCTCCTCTAACCCACCTTGAGTGTCCCCTCCTCCAGAAGCTGTCTCCGACCAGCACCCTCCCAGGTAGCTGGTGCTCAGCTCTGTGTCCCCGGGTTGCTAATGCCAGCAGGAACGCTCCTTCCTCGGTGGCTGAATGCCTGGGCCAAGTAAAGGGACAGCTGTCCCTGTGTGTCCCATCTCTGTCCCGAGTCTGCCATTTCTGTGTACCTGCCTGCTGTGAGGATAAGCAGAGCGTGGGACAGTTGGGGCTGGCGTGTGGGGAGGGGCAGGAATGTGCTGGGTCACGATGAGGAGGAGGAGGAGGAACAGGTACAAACGTCCAGAACTTGGCGGGGGCGGGGCAGAGAGGCAGTGGTAAATTTCGATGGTAAGAATTAAGAGAAACAGAATTAGGTAAATGACTGCTTGGGGCTAGAATTCCATTGTCACCTGGCCAAGAAGTAAAAGTTCTGTAGAAAGTTCCAGATGCAAGGTGCTTGGGACAGTCCTGCTCGGGAGCCTGATCTGTAGGGAGCACCCGATGCCCATAGGGATCCTCGGCAGGCAGCACCCGTGGGCATCCCAGTTCCTTTCTGCCTTGTGTGCTCCTGGGTTGGTTGAGCTTCTGGCACACCTGACGCCCACCCACCCAGTCACCCCTCCTGTGGGCACTCTTCTTGGGTTTTTGCATTTCCTACAGCGGGCACTTCCGGCTTGATTTGATCTAAAGGCTTAGGGAAATAAAAGAATATGAAAGGCTAAACCGAGAGACAACAATAAAAAGAAATCTAAAACACCCCCGCAGGTGTAGTTCTCACCGTAAACACTGAGCTATTTGGAAGACAGGTGTTATGGGGCCGCAGGCCTGGGCGTGGCTGGGTCCATCCCAGTGTTTTTCAAAGTATACGTTGTGTTGGGTGTCCATCAGCCCAGATTGAGAATGCAGTTTCTAGAACCACAATGGGAGCATTCAGCCATGTCCATTGTCTCCAGGACTGAGAATCAGAAACAGGGACGGGCTGCTGGAGTGCTCTCTTAATGATCTGGCACCTCAACAGTCAGGGCCACAATCACACTGTTTGTTGTGGCTTGAGGGCAATGTCACAGTGGCCCTTGTTTGGTCCATGAAAAGACAAATTCTGGTGAGAATAGGAATTACCGCTGGGGGCTACGTTCTCTTGGATTTGTCTTTCTGTAGGGAAATGGGAGGGAATCTGACTAAGGGCAGAGGTGAATGGAGCTGGGGAGCTGAGCTGAAAGCCTTGAGTTCTTTTGTTGAGTCCAATATGTCTTGTATGTTTTTTCTTCTGTTTGTTTGTTTGTTTTTTAACCATGAAGTAGACTTACTGTGTTAGATCATAGGAATTTCGGAAGGGATAAGGACAGTTTAAAATGTTCATGGAAAATGTAATTAGAATAAAAGTTTCATTTGTGGCAAAAACTTTTGAAATGCACACGTAGTTTCTCTATGACACGCACATTGGAACTCTGAAGACTCGCTGTGCTGGTTACAGCTGCTGGTATTTCTCCAGGACAGTATATTGACCCTATAATGATAATATTGCAAGTTCCTCATGAGCTACCAAGGAGTCTCATAAAGTTTTCCCCACCCTAACACTTAGCACGGGGCTAAACACGTTCTTTTCAGTTCATGAGTGTGTTTGTTTATGAAACCACTGTGTCTCTATATGGAACTGAGCAGAATATATTTCTATTTCTACTTCCATGTACTCCTTTTTTAAACTTTTTTTAAATTTATTTTTACTAGGAAGGCGGATATACAGACAGGAGGAGAGACAGAGAAGAAGGTCTTCTATCCACTGGTTCACTCCCCAACCGGCTGCAACGGCTGGAGCTGAGCCAATCCAAAGCCAGGAGCCAGGAGCCTCTTCTGGGTCTCCTATGCGGGTGCAGGGTCCCAAGACTTTGGACCATCCTCGACTGCTTTCCCAGGCCACAGGCAGGGAGCTGGATGGGAAGTGAGGCTGCCAGGATATGAACTGGCACCCATATGGGATCCAAGCGCGCTCAAGGCAAGGACTTTAACCACTAGGCTATCGCGCCAGGCCCTATTTCTATGTACTCTTATACAAGCTTCTCTGTTGTAACAATCTTGTTTATTTCTCCCATGACATTCAAAGATGCCCCAAGCGCTGAGCTTCCGGGGCGGTGTGGGGACCAACTCTGGCCTTTGGAGTAGAAGAGATGTGCTTTGAAGCACAGCCTAGCCCCTAGCAACTTGTCTAACACTGTGCCAATTATTTGACCAGCTCAAGCCTCAGCCAGTGTCGCGTTCAGGATGCCAGAGAACGTCTGGGGGAGGGGCTTGAGAATGCATTCAAAAGTCGGGATTGTTTTCAGTTCAGCTCTGTCCCCACAGAGTAGATCTGAAATAGTTCTGGCACGTAGCGACTCCCACAGCAGTGCCTGTGACCTGCTAAGATTTCGGAGATGTTTGTGGAGGGCTGAAGCAATCCTCCGGGGGCCGCAAGCAGCTGGTGGTCCTGGCGGCGTCAGCAGACAGCGCACACTGGAACAGTCATTCCAGAACGCTGACATTTGAAGCAGTTCA